TTAGTCAGTCTGACAGTCTGGCTCACTTCAGTGGTTGATAAACTTTGATTTATATTGGACCAACTTCTTGTAAAAGACTACATGTTATGGGCTTGTACATTCCCATCTGTCATCACACTGCAGTGGAGAAAACCTTGTGTTTCGTTTTGTGTGTTCCACTAAAAGCACAAACAATTTTGGTGCTTTTTGTCTTAACTGTAGCATGTCATGTTTGAGTTTTCAGTGGTCTAGGTTACTGAGATAGAGAATCATACAGTTGAATGCTTGTCATCTCCGAGACTTAACAGAACATCATCTTGGCATGTGAACCACGCTCTGGTCTTGTCTCATGTTGCCTCATGACTCAACAGGTACGCGTCTCAAGTTTCAGTCAGAAAAGTTAGATTAATGATAGGTAAATATGGGGATAAGTGCAGTGATTATTAGAGTAGGGTTTAAAAGCTATAAACACAATGCATGCATTTCAGGAGCTGCATGACATGATAGATTACACCTAAAGTTAAAGCAGTGCGTAGACATCCAAAAGAATTGTGTCATGAACAAATATCCCCATGTTTACAGTAGGATGTAATACCACAAGTTCTTTCCATGTGTTTAAAATATTTATAATGGAAAAACATAGTGTCCTACTGGTTTCCAATACTTCTCACTGTGCTAAAGTTACCCAGCAGTAAAAATAATTCCTTCCAGTGAACTCAGTTCAGGTTAACAGGGTTGCTTAGTGACAATGTTTCTCACCAAATAGTTCCTATACTGTATGGAGCCGTAAGACGGAGACTAAGTGCTACCACTGACTTTCAGTATCTAGCATTCTCAGTAAAAGTAAAATATCTCAGTTAACAAGAATATAAAAGGCACAGATGGACACATTTATTTAGATGAACTTATTATTTATTTTTGTTCAGAGTAAAGCGTCATGGTATATTAACAGACATGTTTACTTATCTGAGAATTAAAATGCTTCTGTACTAGTGTAAGCATTTTTCAGGTCCTGTTTTATTGTCCAACAGTCCAGGAGGAAGGACAGAGGTGACACTGCCTAAAATAGCCTTTGGTGTAACTCAGTCCTGGGTGAAAATACCCCACTTCATCACTTGAACTGGATCCCTTTTCAAGTTGCTCAGATAAAACGGTGTGTGTGCCAGCTCTGACAGTTGAGAACACAGACTGAACCAAAGGTGTGTATCTGTATCCAGCCATTTAAAAAAATGACTAATAACGTTCACCTCAGATGTCCAGTACAATGTGCATTTTAAACTGGTCTTCATGCTATCTGGGATTAATATAGCTGACAGGGGTTGAACATGTCGCCAGTTTTCTAATATATGTCTAAAGGTGCTATTGACATGAAATTGTAATTGTACGTAAAAAAGAATTCTTAAAAAAATTTTTTTTTGCAAAAGATCCCCCCCAGCAGAGAAGGCCAGAAAGAGACACAAGACGAAATAGAGCAGCAGTAGCTGCAGGCCTTAAACACACTGAGCCTGCCAATTGATGTCAATTAAATATGACATGTGGCATAACTACATTATCGGTTTTCCATTAAAGCCCAACTACAGCTGAATTTTATTATTTTAGACATAGAATTTACATTTTTTTATTAGAGCTATTTTTGATTGAAATGACTCCGAAGTTCAATATGATAAGCTATCATACCTTTAAGCATTAAAGGGCAGAAAATGTGATCACACAGCTGAACCTCTTAAGTAACTTTAACAACTTTTGAATAGCTTTTGGGTGCATGATGGCATCTGTCTGACTGGGATAGTGTGCGGCTCAGTACTTCCTGTTGATTACCTCTTATTTAAGTATTACTGTGCTGATAACCACAAACATCAACACAAAGAGCAAGATAGCTAGTAAAAACGAGAGAAAGCATTCCAGCAGTATAGAAAGTCCACGTTACATTGTTGAGTGTCCCTTTTAACTATTTTACCATCTCATTATAATTTGGAGACAAGTTCTCACTCATTTTAGAATAGAATAGATTTCCCTTGGTGCGCAGAGCATAGATATCCAAAGGGACAGCAACTTTAACCTCACTGAAAACAATTATGTGTGCAACAAGAACAGGAGGAGCACATAAAAGAAGGAGAATATGCAGGAATAGGTTTCGTCTTTCTGCAGGTTGTAACTAAGGATATAATTCATTCACTGTTTTCTTCTCTAATGCCACGTGCCACACAAAGTGCAGAACAGCTACCTGAAATCTACTCGAGTAGAGGTTGATTACCTTATTAATAATTTTACATTTGCACTGCGTACAACTCTGGACACTGTAGCGCCTCTGAAAAAGTAGGCTTTTGTCACTTCTTCAAAAAGCTTAACTCCCAGGTTGAAAGTGAGTATTAAGCTGCTGTCTGGGAAGCTGCTCTTCTGGCATATACAGCTTTCCGTCAGTACAGAGCGTGTGATATGAGCTTGCATTGACAGGCCCTACGCAGGCTAACTCAGTCAAACATGGCTGAATTAGCACTTTCCAAAAGGCATGAAACCCAAGCCTCTCTCCGGGGATACAGTGCACTTCTAAAATACACAAGCAAACTTTGAGCCACAGGTAAACAGCACAGCTACCTGTGGCAGAAAAGTGGTGCACAAGTGCTGCTTTGCTCATACTGCTCAGTAGTTTATAACCAGTCAAGTCTTTGGTCTAATTGTTCCTTTGTTGTTTAACAGCGCTTTCTTAGCTAAAGTTAATAGGAGCAGTACAGAGCAGTATTTGGATAAGTAATATTATATATGGTAATGTTGAATATAAAACATTATAAATTAATTCAAATGTGTGTGGAAAGGTTTGATTTCTATTTATACATTTTGATTTGTGACTGTGTGCAGAAACCTAAATGTGATTTGTACATGTTAAAAGAATCCATTAAAAAAATTCAGCTTTTGAAAATTAACATTGTTTTATTAGGATGGTCTTTTGCTTTATGTAAGATATGTAAGTAGGCATAGTGACCTCTCTTCACTTCATGTATCATTTACACTGTGCTCCGCCTTATGCTATTTCAAGGTCTGGGTGCTTGTGCCACCTTCTGGTACATAGCCTGTACAGTTACCAAGACAAAATGATTTTCACCATATCATTACATTTACATTACATTTTATATGTCGGAGTGACCTTGAGAATGTATGTGTAGTGTATGCTTTGTCGATTTCTCCTCAGTTTTAACCATGTCTAACCTTATATTTTTTCTTGTACACTTTCTGAAATGCTAGGTCTGTACACAGTGCTGGATGTTGATAAGGAGGTCAAAGTGAATCGCCACCTTATCGTGGTAAGGGGTTTGTGTGCCCCAGTGATCCCAGGGGCTATGTTGTCGGAGGGCTTCTTATCTCACTAAATTAAATACTATATCAGAAAATATCAATAAATTAGATTAAAAATAAAATATTAAAAGAAGGAGAAAATAATAATAAGTATTAATAATAAAACACTTTAAGATGCAACTTAATTACATTTTTGTTTATTACCACGTGTGAACATAATTGAAAGGTCTATGTCAGTCATCTGTGTTGGTTACTGAACACATCGATGTGCCTTCGGCCAAATATTAAAAGACACCTTTTGTGTTTTAGAGTGAATATAAGATGTTTTTTGAAGATGGGTTTCCAGCATTCAACTGTCTGGGGTAATGGAGTAATGAGCATTAACCATTACTGTGTGTAGAAATTTTCTTTACTGTGCCCAAGATTTTATTTAATGTAAACTTAATGTTGGGTTTATGAAACATGAACTGAGCAGTCTTGTTCTTCAACTGTGCATGTGTTAGTGAATAATTTCTTTTTATAGGGAAACAGATTTGAGGTGCAGCGGAACAAGTACTGACAACATTGCAAGAGAGAAGCCTCTACTGCTACGAAAACAAAGCAGAGAGAAAGAGAGAATGATAGTGTTCAAGGAAGAAACCACATAATAAGAAACTGAAAACAGGCGGAGAACAAGGGTCGCCTTATCTCCCAGCCAAAGACGAAAGAATCAGAGCATTTACTAAAAGAAGTCATCTGTCATCCAACATCTTTGGACAAGTGCCACTAAATTAGACTGGATGAACAAATGGTTTTTGTTCATGGCTGTTTATCATCCATGAACAAAGAACAAAAATCCTTAAAAAAAAAAAAAACACAAAACAAAACATTACAAAAAATTGCTTAAGTTACTTTCCCCTAACAGATTTCTGCGTTAAAAACATGCACACACAAGGAGACAAGTCTTAATAACTTGAATTTAACATTCAGATGAAAGGTCATCTCTCTCTGTAATACCAGCTAAAACATATGCATGTTTGTAACACTGACGTCAGGCAACAACAATTTTAATCCAATATTGGCAAGAAAAGGGTTCCTTTAAATGTAGTAGTGACAGGAAGTGCACTGATTTTAGCGTGGCAGGAACCAGTGAGGGTTTAAACTGTCTCTCACAGTCACTGGTCAGGACAGTTTTTAAAAAAACTATATTATTATTATTTCAAGTACATATACAAATACGGCAATCAGTGCTGCACAAATTCAAAGGATTACAATGAATTGCCAGAAAGAACAGCGATTACAGTAACAATGTAACCATATCAAACAAAAATAATGAATTTTTACATCGATAAAGATGTGTACAAATGACCAAGATGCAAAATTGAGTGAAATGCTGCCTATTAGAGAAGACAAAACAAAACAGACAAACAAAAACAAAGGGGAAGCATATATAAAGTTTCAGTTATTCGATTCAGTGGGAAGATGCTTAAGAATATCATATAGTTTTTGTGGTTTATTTCCTTTAAGTAACTTAAGGATTTTATATATAGTTTCAATTTGTATAAGAAAGTAACAAACCTGGGGATGTTTTGGTAAATCTACATTTGTGTATGAAAAAAATTGCTATACATAAAATAACATTATGACATAGTCCATCCTTCTTATACTGTAGAAAAGGGCCAAAAGATTGGTCAGGACCAGTTGTCACAGTGACAAAACAGAATTGTACCACTCTGCTGCCATCTTCCAGACTCCGCTGTTTTAGAACAGCGCATGCGCTGGCCGTGACGTCTCGTGACGTGACATTTGAAATGAGCCGGGAAAGTAGCAACTGAGGAAGACTACGATGAAGTGAGAGCAGCTAAATGTGTGAGTGAGCTTAATAATACACTGTGTGTACAGGTGTGGGGACGGGATGGCGCTTATGGCAAAGGTTACGCTTCCACCTTCAGTCTGTTCCTACTTGTTACTAACGTCATGGGTTCATAAGATCCCTGTCATACGCTCGTACCTTAAACACTGTACATGCTGTATATGCTCTCATATAGAAAGACTTGTTTGACAACCCGAGCGTACCGATCGCGCGCACGGTTAGGTTGTTGGCAGTAGAAGCAAACAGGTTTCCGTACATCAGTTAGCTGTAACTGCACTGCTTGTGGCTGGCTTTTATAGCTCTTGACCCTTACATTTCAGTGGTCTTCTTCTTCCCTGTCGTTGCTCTCGCTCTCGTTCACTCAGAGTAATGATGAATTAATAAGTTGTCCTTGTGTAGCGCTTTGTCTTAACACGTAATTTTATGTATGTTCCACAGACTTCCTGTAAATGTTTCAGAATAAGAGCCTGGTTAAGAAATGACTGTGCATTGACACGGTAACCCCCCTTTAATTTGAAACAGCTACCGGAAGTGCCGAGTTTGTATAAACAAACAAGACTGTAATATGGGTTTTGACAGCATATAAGCAGGAGCCAGACCTTTGGTTTTAGCTGTCCTTTCATTGACGCCTATTAAAGTTTATAAGCTGATCTTTTAATAAGTGTCTGACCTGTTTGTTAATCCGTGTGTGGACGTATTCCGGTAACTACGAACAGCACATGGAGTTCATAATTATCAAACTGTCAAAATATAACGTACGTTAAGAAAACTCTGACCATTTGTGTATTATTCCACTGGTTTACTCTTCAGATCTCTCATAGTGCATTGTCATATTCATGCTACCTTGGTCCATCAAAATTGTCGAAGTGTTTGAATGGAGCCGTGAGGGTCATCAGTGTAAAAGTGATGTGTGTCTGACATAATGCGCTCGCTTTAGGAGATGGCTGGAGCAGCAGTCTCACATGTCCCATGTCTACAACTTAAATGTTTAAGGTTTTAGAGAGGCAATGTTTTTCGATCCATTTTTCATTGTCGTGCCTGTTGCTTTTTCTTCTCCTTAAGCAGTTTGATATCATCAAAGTTCTACTTTAGTTTTGTGCATGACCTTCACCTGCATGCTTGACAGGTTAGAATTTTAAATTCCAATGTTAATGGTTTTAATTTGACCCTGTTTCAGAAAAATGGGCGACCTTGAGGATATCAGCCACCACATTCATGACAGAATAACTTCTATAAAACACATGCTGGATCTGTCAGTTATTGGTATGACATGTCCACTTGTATGAGACTGATGATAGTGTTTGTATCCATGGGAACCACTGCTAAGTTTTGTGACATAAAATGTTCCTCTGCATACAGAATTGCCTCAAAACAAGACGAAGAAACTTGGACAAGAACTGTTTGCCCTGGAGAGACTTCTGGAGGAGTTTGAAAAAGGCGTTGACCAGCAGAAGGAGCACCTGAAGCATCTCAAGGTAAAGTAGAGGCGTTTGTTTATCTGTTGGAACAAACAAGTCTAACATTCACACGAATAAAGAAGAATAAGCTGTGACCGCCATAACTAATTTTAACTATTGCATAAACCAGTTAGTCACTGATACATGCCATCCAGTCAAGCCCCTGAAGTGATATTAATTTTTAGCATGAATGTCTTGCTTTTCCTTTGCTCAGAGTGGACCTTCAGGCGTGACTACATGCACAAAATAGAAATTCATTTTCTCCTGACAGTTTGATCAGCAAAATGGCTTTTTAATGTTTTCTAAATGAAAACCTAGATAAACAAAATTTAGTTTCCTTAAAAAGCACCCTTTGAGGATGCCAGAATTTTGTGAATGCAGGAAAAATGGCAGAGATGAAAACAAATAATGAAATCATCCAGAGTAAAACATTAAGTGAGCGGAGGGTTTTAGGGTTTGACAGTCTCTTTTTCTCACTCAGGAACTTGATGAGGTTTTCCAGAAGCATCTACAGGATGTTCAGCACATTAAGAACAACATCCCTCCACACATGCCCCGGAAGAAGGGCCTGCTCAAGTGAGAATACTGGCATTGCTTACTTATGTTTTTTTTTAATGGAAAATGGGGGATTTTATTTTGAATAAAGCAGTATTTCTCTAATGATCTATGAATCAAATATATTTGGCAACCCGCTTCAGCATTTTTACCTTTTTTGTTATGTTACCCTTTCAACAGAATGTTGTTTGTGCTCAATTTTTTACTTCTCTTTGTTTGAAAAATTGGCACTAACTATCCAGCCCGGTCCTTCCTGTCATGGATTTCCATACTGCCTGCTTCTCTGCTCAGACTGCTGTTGTAGCAGTCTTTGATAACACTCAGATGCTGAACCACAACTCCCGGTGTTACCATCCAGCTCATGGGGGGCAGCAAGAAGCAGTTGTTCTTGTTGCTCTCTGGAGATCCATCGTGAGGTGGAGAGTCAGTGAGCAGGTGGAGAGTTCATGTGCTGATAAGTGGAGCTTACCAGAACTGCAGATGGATTAAGACAGCTGACTTCATTACTCTGCTGTTAATCAAAAAGTGCTTGGTTGTTTTTTTTGTTTTCCCCCTGCTCTTCTCAGCATAAAAACAAACGCATTATGTTTGCTTTCAACTGTTGCTGTACCTTGCTTGTAGAGCCCACCACCTTACAAAATATGCAGTAAATGCTTATGATCTGTTATTTTCCAGAGGAAGCGAACCTGCAATAAATCAGAAAGAAGCTGTAGAGGTTCAGCCAGCAGAAAAAAAGAGCAGCAAGAGTTTTGTCAGAGAGATGGAGTTTGTCACTATGCCAGAGTTTGAGAGCATCCCTCAGTAAGTATAATCAATCACTGTAATTCAAAATGACCTTATGTATGAAACCTTTGTGAAACCCACTTAAACAATCTAGGGAGGCTATCTCATTTTGACCTTGAGACTTCCAGGCCATTCTTGGCACAGATGTTTCTGTATACAATGCCAGCTACTTGATTATGGGGTACCATGTATGCCTTGCCTGCTAGGATCTGGCAACGTGTGTGTGTGTATGCGTGCTAGCTTGTTAATATCATATAATATGCTGGACACCTGTCTGTTCATTATGAGGAGTTTTCATGTCTTCAAATCAGTGGCATCCATTTCCTCTTTATTACAGCTGGGTGTCTGATATCTGCTAAAGAATATTTGATGGCTTGGATCTTTTCCTACTGTTCAGCTGGCTTCTCAGCACCTGTTTTACTTTCTGGAAGTATTTGACTATTTTGCTTTCTGTAGCTCCGCCCCTTTGCTTTGGATCACCTTCCGTTTCGTTGCAGTCATTCAGGTATATTTATCCAGTCCAAAGGACATCCCGATATCCTTGCTTTAGATCTTGGTGTGGTGGAGCAGTGAGTCGATATCTCGCTTATTCCTGGCCTGCAGGACTAAGCGTCTAAGCTCTGGCTGGATCTGCCCTTGTGCTTTTGTGCTTGTGCTACCCGCCAGAGCTCATTTAGAGACTTCTTGTACCTCTTATTCATGCAGGACCTGTGTGTCATGACACCCTTCTGCATTTCTGTTAGTGACTGACATCCTTCCTGAGTTCTCTGATTTTATGACTTCCAGCCGTCATCATAAGGCAGTCTGGCTACAGTCAGCTCAGCAGATGTCATTGGTGGCTGGGCCTCATCTAGTTCAGTTACACTGCTCTATTCTACCATGGTTGGGTCATTATGCCCATACCGCTCACTATTGCTCCCATAATAGCTGAAGACATAACATGAAACGGTGTTTTTCTGATGTGTGTTCATACAGGTACATGAAAGGACGTGTGACATATGAGCAGCTCAATGCAGCAGTGGAGAGCATCAATACTGCTGTAGCAGCCAAGTACAAGATTGTCCATCAGTCCTTGAAAACACTCAACAATCACTCACGAAAGCTGCACCAGCGCTTTAAGGACCAAGAGACCAAAGATACAAAAGGTATCCTGCAAGCCAAAATTGTGTGCTACTTGTGTACGTCTCAGGAAGATAGAATGGGCGTGTAGGTTTTCAGTCATAGAGGTCATGTTAGTCCAAAGAGCTTTCTTTCTTACCAAGCTCCTTAGTTTGCAACAGAAGTCTTTCTTGATTTAAGATCACATTTTAGAATCATTGTGAAGTTTTTTCTGATCACTTTGAAAGCATCTCTGGGTTTTTCCCCTCAAGACAGTGAAAATGTTAGACTTCAATATTTGATATGTTGTCTTTCTAGTGTTTTCAGCTAAGCATAGGCTTTTAATGATCCACAGACCTTTCTTCTGCCATTCATTTTATTTGTTTGTTTGTTTTTAAGTATTCATGAGTCATATAAAGCGATATAAAAATCATTTTGGACTAAACAGAGCAAACAAAACTGTCCTGAAAATTAAAAAACGAAGGATACCGGTGTTATACTTGCTTGTTTTTCTTTTGCTTTCAGCTTTGTGGGCGAATCATTAAATGCAAACCCACATCTCAGATATTTGAGATCACTTTTTTCAACTGGCTCTTTATAAGTACATTATCACATCCATATTGGTCAGTTTCTGAGAAAGGATTGTTTGTAAAACACAAAGTTTCACAGTTGTGGTTAAATGTTTTGCAGGTCAGTATTTTGTGGTGGAGGATGACATTCGTGAATTTACCCAGATGAAGGTGGACAAACGCTTTCAGGGGATTCTGAACATGCTGCGACACTGCCAGCGCCTGCGGGAGCTCCGAGGGGGAGGGCTCACCCGCTACATGCTGCTATGAAAAAGACGCTTTCAGTTAGTTTTTCCTTTTCTCTAGTACACTGCCATATTTGTAAATGGCTTACATAGGTAAATGACATTTGTTGTGATAGGTAGACATACCGAACATTTAACACGCTTCTGGTATATATATATATGTTTGCGTACTTAAACTTCTATGTGTATGTTGTATTGTCATATAGTGTAATAATAGATACTAGTAATAATAAATGGCACATTTTCTCTTCTGTATCATTATGTTGTAATAATGTAATAATATCTTTACATGTCTGAAAGCTTGGTTATGATTAAATTGCTTTTTGTGTTTTTTTTGAGACTTCACTCAGAGATTTATAGCCCTTTTCCACTAGCACCTCTGCTCAGCTCCGTTTCAGTCGTTTTCCATTACAATTAAGTACCACCTATTGTGCGTGAGGTCATTACAGCAACATTCCTGAAACTCCTGCAATATCATTTGTAAGCAACACAAACATCACAAGAATGGAAGATGTTGTAGCAATAGTCGCTCTCAAGACGCTATCAGAGCCAAAGACCACAAACCTGCCACAAGGTTAGACAAAGGGTAATACTGTCTGCTCTGGGACTACCCCAGGGTTACCTGGTAGTGGTTTATGAAATAAAAATTCTGTTCCACACTGAAAACTTTATATTCCAGAGGCCGCTGGATTAAAATGGAGGCTCTCTTTGTTGGTGCCATGGTGAATCCTGGTATCAGAGCTCCAATGGTCATTCATTATCTTACTTTAATGCGTGACTGGTAGAATAACTCACATGCTTAACTCTGGAAGAACACACTCCGGGTTGATTAAAGTAAAGGTGATCAATCTCTTGATACTCAGAACAGAAGTTATGCTCAGGCTCAGTTTGTGCAACAGCTTCTCAGGCATTCACGTCATCAATGGGACGCTAACACACAGGCTGAAAGTAATAAGTAATTTTATATATATATATATATATGTATATGACTCAATGCCCCACACATGAATCCTGGAATACCTAGAACTATACAAGATCAGCAGGATGCTGAGAGCCTTCATCAGGAACTCAATGGGGATGTGGCAAACAACACTAGAGGCCAATTTCAAGCCTGTAGCACAAGTCACTATCGAGTGTGGGGTCTACAAAGGAGATGCGCTGTCCCCACTGCTTTTCTGCATAAGCCTGAACCCCCTTCAGTCCACTCCACACCAATCCACACCACGACAATCTACAAGAACGACATCAGAATGTCATTCGGACTGGAGAAGTGTTGTTTGGACGGTAACAAAGAGAGGGAAGATAGTCAGAACTGTGGGGATTGTAATACCGGACAGCTGCAAGTACCTGGAAATCCTAGGCAAATGGGAACCTTAAAGAGGCCGCTAGAAAAGCTGCAAATAGCTGCAGAGAGTGAGGCAAGTGCTGTGGAATCAGCTGAATGGGAAAAACAAGATCAGGGCTATCAACACCTACGCCCTGCCCGTGATCAGGTGCCCTGCCTGGATAATAAGCTGGCCAAAGGAGAAGACAGAAGCCACTGACATCAAGACGAGGAAGCTCATCACCATGCATGAAGGATTTCACCCCAAGTTAAGCATCCTGAGACTGTATGCTAAGCGGAAGGAAGGGGGCCTGGGACTGGTGAGTCCAGGATGAGGCAATGAACATCCACAAATACATCAGGAAAATGGCCACAACTGACTGTGTGCTTAGTGAATACCACAGGTGGTAGAACCCCGAGAAAGAAGAGGAGCAAGAGGGGGAGCCATCATAGAAGGACAGGCCCCTGCACAGTATGTACAAACGCCAGATACAGTACAAGATCCATAGAGGGTGGGTTCTACCACACCAGACAATACCCCAGGTGCAGGCTGTGCAAAGCTGGCCCTGAGATAATCCACACAAAACAGCAGGGTACAAGATACTAGCAGGCAGGTCATACATGGAATGCCGTAACCAAGTGGCCGGCATAGTGTACAGAAACATTTGTGTGAGTATGGCCTGGAAGTCCCGGCCATAGTCAATGTTTTTTTGGTTTTTTTTGGCTTTTTTGCCATCAGAATTATTGTCTAAAGACAAAGAAAGATGCCCAACGGATTTACTTTACCAAATGGACCATCCCAGCCTTGCTGTAATGGTCTATTTGATTCACCTTTGCTTTTATTGTTTATTTTATTTTATTTTCACTTGCTACACACGGGACAGACTTGACTAGGGGAAAGAAAAGGGAGAAAGAAAGAGGGAAAGAATAACAGCGGAGAAGAGGGATGGGGATAAAGGGCAAAAAACAAAAACCAACAAAATAAGCAGACAAAAAATACATATATCGATCACCTGTTGAGAGAGAAAAAAGAGAAAACAAGCAGAAGAAAAAGAGAGCATTATAATAAACAACATCACAATGCTCTATGGGAATATAACAGTAAATACTAAATATTAAACATTATTGAGCTGCACGTAAGATCGACAGCGCACAGTGTGCTTTGAGGTAGGAGCCAAAAAGGGTGTCGTTTGTGGGTGTGATCACCTGTGTGTACACCTGTGAGCGTGAGCGCGCTTGTATTTAAAAGGTTCCTTCATGTAATGATCTGCTAGAGGGTGTGGGGGGGCCACAGCCCCGTCCTCCAGGGCATGAAGCAGGTATGGAGGAGATCAATTCTCCAGACATCCAGAGGCCCCCAGAACACAAGAGACCAAGGAAGACCAACAGAGGGGCAGCTGCGCCACTGTCCCCGTAAGAGCTGACGGCCATAGAGCAAATAATATCACATTGACGGCCATAGTCAATGCGATATTATTTGCTCTGCTGCTTATTTTCCATCCTTAAGTACAGCGTGTGTTGTGTGTGTGTGTTCACGTTACTGTGCTGGGTAAAGGCACACTGTGCGGTCAGTGTGCTCTGGTGTACTCTTGTTTGTGTACCACGAGGGGTCAGTCTGAGGAGCTCAGCGCCACAAGTCCCTGCATGTGTGCCCCTGTGGGCAGTCTGCTTGTTCTCAGTGTACAAGCCCACTGAACTGAGCTGGAACAACTTGTCACAGCTCATTGCTGATCCACGAATCTGCGCAGGGTCCCGGGGTACAGCAGGAAGAGGCTCCCCTTCAAAGTAAAGCAGTTCCGTGCGTCACAGCGCTGTTTGTCTCCGCGGTGATTTCACTCGAAGCTGAAGTTCATGAAAACGCTACAGCACAGACTCCGTCCTCATGGACCTGGAAACCGCTCAGCACAGTGAGCCGTGTCTGCCTCTGTGAGGGAGCAACAGGCTGATTTCTGCCTCAAACCACCGCAGCGAGGTAAGCAGAGCCGCACAGCAGGGCAGCTGTCCGCAAACAAAGCGCTTGTCCTGGTGTGTGTGTGTGTGTGTGTGTGTTTGTTTGTGCGCGCTGTTTGGTTCTCGGTCATCCAGCCTTCAGTTCAGCTTTCAGCTTCTCCAAAGCCGGAGAAGCTGAAAGCAAATATCATAAAGCGTCTTAGTAAGGTATGAAAAAGCCCTTTGAAAATACAGAATACTTACTATAAAAACACAAATAATACGACAAAGTAAAACAGTACGGTAGAGCTCAGTAAACCCATTAGAGAATAATTAGGAAAATGTAAAAGGTTTAAAATAAGGTGCAGTAAAAATATATGAGGAGTGAGGAGGGAACAGGAGTCTGCTGGGCAGATGTCACACGGGGTATGAAAGAGTTCATGCAGGTTTTGAAGAGCTGATTACTGACACACACAGCTATGCTCTGGGTGTATGAGGCCTGATGGGAGGGAGCTTTGCAATCTGGCCATTCTCTTTCCAGCTGTTAGCTTTTCTCTCTCAGTGCAGTGGAGCTGCTTGCTCAGCACAGGCATGCTTCCATTCATGCCAGCCTTTCCTGCTCCAACCCCGGAGGTTGAAAGATCATCACCACCATCGCTCATACTCACTTTATTAAGCAGTTGTTCCTGCACTGCAGACAGCGCATTTCTGTCTATTCATTTGGCAGAAAATTAAAAAAATTTAATTACCACTTCTAACAGTGGTAGAAAACACCCTCTTCCTTTGAGGACTAACCCGAGAAGCATGCTGATGTACTGAAGGTGGGGCACTGCGTCAGTGCTCCAGGTAGAGGGTCGCCACAGCGCATCATCTGCCTGCATCTCACCCTGCTCCATGTAACATCCTCCATTTGTTAGCGCAACCTCTGCAAGTTCTCCTTCACTGCATCCATCAATCCACTCTGAGCTCTTCCTCGTTTCCTCCTGCCTGGCAGCTCTAGATTGAGCATCCTTTGTTCAAACCAGCTCAGCGTTGCTTTTCTTGTTGCAGTGTGTCTCTCACAAATCATGACACTCATTCCCACTCACTCCACCCTGCCTTGACTCTCTTCTTCACCTCTCTTGTACACTTTGCTTTAGAAGGTGGATCTCAATGATTGTAGGGTCTGTCTTACAATATAAAGCATACCTCCACCTCTCCAGGCTCTCCTCCACCTGCTCTCTGTTCTCACTACAAATAGCTATGTCGTCTGCAAACATCACAGATCCACAGAGCCTCCTGCGTGAGCTCGTCTGTCACCTTATGTGTCACTTCTGACTTCTGAGATTACCAAAAGTTTACAAAGTGAATTTAATATGTTATTTGTTTGGACCCAAAATGTGTGATTGAGCCTGTGAATTCATTAGAGAGCTGCTTTCACATAGAGTTGTGTAGGCTCAAAAGTCATGCTTTAGTTACAGGTTGTTCCCTGCTGACCAGCTTTAAGGCACTTTCATGTTGGCTTCACTTCTCAGATCAAGAAGCTGTCCATCTTTTATACCGTTTGAGCTTGTGTTTATGTAATTCACATTCGGCTCACGCTGCCTTTTGACTTTTCCTTCAACTCATCACCTTTTCCATCAAGACAAATTAAACATGATTAGGAAAAGGCAGATGAGGGAATCTGTTGATGAGCCAATAAGGGTTAAGAGGTTTACCACAGAAGAAGAACCAAGCAGTGACATCTCCTGTTGGACATTCTCTGTTCTTGCTTTAGAGCCTAACGGAGGGACCGTATTGATCATGGTCTTAGCTGCTCTTCCACACACAGTTAGTGAGCAGCTGGATCGTCTGTCTGTTTCAGATCAAGTGTGGAAACCGGGGAATCTGCAAAATGAGCAGGCCTCCTTCATGCTGACAGACGGGCGGAGTGCTGTGTGGATGTTTCAGAAATCTTTGAGAACATGTGGCTGTCAAGCACTCCTATTTCGAGCTTTATCTTACAGGCTCTTTAAAAGGCAGAAGCACACACTGTTGCGTTTCTCCGGTCTGTCTGTGGCTCTGTCACACAGCAGTCAGCCGTGCTATGTGGGGTTAACCAGTGCTGCATGCTTTACTGTTGAGTCATGCTCTCTCACTCTGCTAGCATGTCTTCTGAACGCTGTATTTGTTGTTCTGAGTCGTACTTGTTCTGGGTGTTGTGATGCACAGCAGTGCAGTGTGTGCTTTCTTAAATAAATGATTGTGTGAGACATAATGCAGATGAACGCTGCTTGCTTTACTTTCTCGTTAGTGTGACCTTGAAGCTGACAGGAACTAGAGAACAGAGTACAGACTAATGTTCCAGCTGCAGTCCAAGACAGTGGAGTTTGAGTCCATCCAACCACAGGAGGACAGACCGTGCGGAGAGGCAGCTAGGTGATACTGAGGTCAGCCGGTAAGAAAACATGAGATGGAAACAGCTGACTCCCTGATATGTTGGCTGTTCTTCATTTCTATCTTTTTATCTTGTTTCTCTCGGGCTCCTTAGCTGGTTAGCAGCAGCTAAAATTTCTTAAAAGCCAAGTTGATGGCCAGTGACGGTGTTCTCTCAGATGGATTAAAAAGTAGAAATTAAAATGCTTGTATGAGATGTCAGAAG